AATCTAATCCAGGGTCCTAAAGGAGGAGAGCTTGGCATGCCCAAAGCCATATAAGTGGGCTTCAATATGGAGAACGCTTAGGCCGTGGTTACAAAGTCTTGATCTTGCTCTTGGTCTTAACAGCAGCCTTTCATCAAGCACATGAATCTTTTCCTTATTGAACCTCATCGGAAATTGGCCTTTCTTTGACTTAGTGACCTCAATAGCTATCCGAAGCCTTATTTTTGCTCGACTGTGGTCTTGAATCGTGATGAGATCATAATCTCAATAGTTATCCATGGTTCTTCATCTCCTCCTCTGAGTAATGGTTGTAGCATAAATTTGATGTCGAAGAAGGGAATGGAAAGAACGCGACTTGAAGAAGAAAAGGGACTTATTGAATTGCGAATCTCGATGTGTAGTGGTCGTAATCTGAGGGCAAGCGGTGAATCAAAACTTGTCCTCATGTTACTGTCTTTAATCAGTATTCGATCCTACTATTATGATTTTCTGTCTCCTTCCGTCCTGCCTTGTCTTACAAAACATAACTAAGCTGCCAAGGCTTTTCCAGCTCTTCATCTCGGCAACCATTGCGTGTCCCGTTCAAGGCTTTAGATCTCTAACGGTTAAATCTCTAACGGGTGAACATTTTCAAGGTCTTCACTAATGTCAATAGCAGCAGTGTCACTAGAAATTATTTTCTGTTTCTTGATTCGTACCGTTCTTATTTAGTGCTTGCAACTCGGCTTTTTTGCTTAATATATCAAAGCTATCTGACCAGACTGCTCTCTGTAATGTTCCTATTTGCTAATTTTTTTTTTCGTTATTGTAGAGTTTCTGCTTGTACCTGCATTTTACAGTTTGATTGCTCTCGGCATGATACAAGCAGAAACTCTACAACACGAAATGAGTGGTGGGATGATCCCACCAATGTCTTGCTAAGCGTTTCACCGCCATTCACACTTGACTTGATCTTCTCTAATTACTCTTGAAATGGCTTTTTTCATTGTGCATCACAAATTTCTGAAGATACCTCCATAGGATATCTGTTTCAGGGTGCGACGTCAAGTCGTAGACGTACCTTCATTTATCGTTCGTTTGGACTCCCAGAAACACATCGACTTCTCACTGAAATCGCCCTTCGGTGGTGGCCGACCAGGACGAGTAAAGAGACGCAACATGAAGAAAGCAGAAGGAGGTGAAGCATCGGGAGATGACGAGTGATTTGTTATAGTTCTGTTATAAATCGTTATCTTGTTTCTTTATGTTGGTGTTGCTTCTCATAAACACATTCGTAGTCTATTCAGGACTGATATTCGGTGCTGGTTCTGTAATTGCTACACAGTTGCAGAAGTGAAAAGTCTACTCATCAACATGCGAATACCATGTGGTTCAGTAGAGCGTAGTTAGTACCCGTAACCCATTCCGGAAGTTTACACTCCGCGAGTTCTCGTGAATTCTAACACTTTGGGACGATATTTGGGCTAATTGCATTAATGTGAGAGTATCAATGACTGTTTCTTGTGGGTTCCGAAATACGCTTATTCTGCGGCACATTGAAAAAGGATTGGATAAACAGTGATATGAAGTAGAGAGGTACCTTTGAACGGACGGTACATCTGTAAGGAGTGTCTCAAGAAAGAAGCTAGCTTGATGTTCGTTGGACACCTGCGGACGGTATGTAGCCAAACTACCGCAAGGTGGCAGAGCACGTGCTGAATTATTCAGAAACGGACCGTCTAATTGCTAGTCCAGTGTAAGAGCGAATATTCGTATTTCTTTGAAAGCGAGTACGGAGAACAACAAGACAATTTTTTGGCGTCATCAAGGTTAGTGCTAACGTTACTTTTCTGGCGGCCAGGCTCACATATTTTAGCTGATGCTTCTCTTTCACTGAAGCATCTGTAGCCGATTAGTGCCAAAGCTTTGTGGCGCGTCTCCAAGTGGCATACAGGGTCTAGATCACGTACCAAAACACTGATGTTGGTGAAAGGGCGTCGACGAACTTAAGGCGTAGAATACCGCGCATAGGGTGGCGGATCATCTCGATTCCCCACGTTCGCTTTGCTGCAAGCAGCAAATTTTTTAGTTGTCCCAAACTGCAATAATCGTTCTCAGCTTGCCTTCCTGAAAATCGACAGGACACCATATTGGTGAAAATGTAGTTGGGGGTGCCAGGCACTTTTGTGCTCTGCGTCTCTTCATTTCTTACCCCATCTAATCATCTCACCCATCCCGGAGCTCCTCCCCTTCTAAAAGCTAGGGAAGGAGTTCCGGGGTGGGTGAACCAACTGGATGCTCAATCTTTATCCCATCCCAGCTTTTTACACGAGATAATCATCTCTCCCACCCCGGAGCTCCTCCC